GGACTTAGGCATATCGTTCATACAACTGTAGAAGAATAAGTATTTAAGACACTTTACTTATTAGGACACAATGAGAGAAATTGAGTCATATCTTGAATTTTTCGACGATCCGAAGAGACGACAAGTCGTCATTTTCACAATGTGCTATGATGTATAGTACATATGGCCGATAAATTTATTAATCAGCCAAATGGATCACAAATGCCTGCGAAAATAACCAACAATCCCAGATTTTTTCCATTTTTTAAGGTATATCTATAAGTTATATATATTTAATTAATTATTTTAACACGAGTGCATGTTTAATTAATTAATTAATAATTAATTTCAGGATTGTATTGGTACGATTGACGGAACACATGTACGTGTTAAAGTGTCTAAAAAAGATGCTCCACGGTTTTGCAGGAAAAAAGATTTTCCCACTCAAAACCTGTTAGTGCTTGTACATTTGATTTGAAATTTTCATACGTCTTACCTGGGTTGGAGGGGACCGCTTTAGATTCAAATAATAAAAGATGTGTTAAAGAAAGTTGATGATCTTCTAGTAATTCACGAAAGTAATTAAAATATATTTAATTTCGATATGTAATGTATATTTTTGAAGAAAAATGTTATAATTTAATTTGTTTATTGCTTATAGCTAAGTTTTACCTTGTCGATGTTGGGTTCATGTTACGGGGTGGACTAGTTACACCATATAGAGGTGAACGCTACCATTTAAGTGAATACTCTAGAAATCCACCACACAATGCTCGTGAGCTATTTAATCTACGACATGCTTCATTGCGTAATTCGATTGAACGTGCATTTGGAGTTCTAAAGAAACATTTTCCAATTATCCAAACATCGACTGAATCCCATTATTGGATTAAGACTGTTAATACCATTATATTTACTTGTTGCATTTTGCATAATTATTTACGGGGAGAGGATCAAACTGATGAAATTCTTTAAGAGGTTGATGAAGAACTCGAAAATATTTATTTAAAAGAACGAAGTATTTGTAACTCTAGGGACAGTACTGAAGAAATGAGAAAAGGCGAAGCAATTAGGGATGCAATAGCAACTGATATATGAGCTGATTACATTTTGCATAATTTATGATGTTTGTATAGTTTATGATGTTTATATGGTGTATGACATTTGTATGACTTATGATGTCTGTGTAACTTAAATATTTTAATTGAATGCTACAATTTGAAATTTATTTTGTTGTAATCATATTATATTTTTGGTATATGATTATATTTAATATTTTCATATGTGTTTTAGACAATGGCTAAGAGGAACAGGAATGCAGACATAGGAAGTAAAATGATCCACTGGTCAGATTATATAGATGACATCCTAGTAAACTTGTTTTACGATCAACATTTGTGTGGTCGTAGATTGGGTGGGACATTCACATCACACGCTATTGATTGTGTACGTGAAGAAGTGAGGAATGCATTTCCAAATCTGCACATTGATAAAGAGTGTATACACAACTGCATAAAAAATTTGAAAATGCAATTCTCAAAATATTATGATATTTTCAAACATAGAATGTGTGGTTTTATCTGGAATCCAACAACTGAACGACTCAAAGCAGAAGAGGAAGTTTGGGAGCAACTAATAAAGGTAAATCTTTTACTTTATCATATGTTGTTTGCCATTTTTTATATTGTTCAAATATTAATATAGTTATTCATGTTAGGCTCAACCTGAAGCAACATAATTGAAAAATGCGTGCAAAATTAAGAGAAAATATTAGAAATGTGTAGAAAGAATAGAGCTAGTGGGTTTACAAGTGATACATCCATAAACCCTCGAAGACAAAGGAAGAGGAGTGGTGATGAACATAGTCTAGATGTTACAAGTGAGACACCAATTACCCAAGATTTAAGTGGTAATTTTAATTTTCATGGTCTGGATAGTTCATGTGAGGCTCCAACACCCGAAACTCCTACTTCAGAGTCCGAACATGAGGTGCAAGAGTCTTTAATGTGAAAGAAAGTGAGATGTTTGACAACGGTCTATGAAGAGGAATATTTGGTTGAAGTTCGAACTATTTCAAATTCAGTGAAGGAAATATTAACAATTGCAAAAGCGCCTGTTTCAGCAGAAAAGCTATATCAAGAGGTTTCTCGTATGGGATTAGATCTCATTTAAGAAACAAAAGCTTTTATGCAGCTTATGGATAAACCAAACATGGTTAAAGCTTTAATGACTTGTCCTCCTGATCCGCGTAGTTTTTCCATGACCAATTTGCTTAATTTACCAGGTAATAACTAATATCACATCTTAAGTTCGAATATTTTTTATTTGTTCTTTTGTTGATTTTGATTTTTTGCTTTTTTCGAATTTTCAGATAATTGAAAATAGAGATTGTTGTCGCTGAAATACAAGACTATATTATGGTTTTAAGAACTTTTGTCAAAATGATGTTAGATGTCTAATGGATGAATCTTATTATTTTGATGGACTAATTTATGTTTTAGATTGATTAGTTTATGTTATACGGACTAATTTTTTATATCTTTTTTTATTTATTTATAGACAGTATTTTATATTTTTGAAGCAGTTTTGGTTTATTGTAGTATTTGTTTAATTTTCAAGTAATTTAGTAAAAAAATATAAATATTTTTCTATTATTGAATATGAATACGAAATATCTATATATATATATATGAACTATATATTTTTTGTTAAAAAATAAATTTAGAAGTTTGAAACTAATAAAAAATATATATAATTACTATCATTAATTTTTTACATAATATTAATTATTAAATTAACTGATTATTTCAAACACATTTTAATTTTTTATTTGTTAAATTAATTTTAAATTTAATATACTAATATATAATAACAACTTTTTATCTCTAATATATAAATAATTTTATTTTTATTAAAATTAAATTAATATGATAATATAAATAATAATTATTTATTTTATTAAATACAAAATTTTAATTTGATTATATATAATAATTATTTATTTAAATATAAATATAATTATATTGATAAATAATTTTTTTTCCTTACATACTTTATACTATTTACTATTACATATGATATGTAGAAGTAAATTAATAATTTGACTGAAAATATAACTATACCATCCTATCATCCAAATAAAAATATGTCACTAACATACATTAATATACCATAATGCAAACATAAAAAAATTTTATCATTACAATCTTATGTTATTACTATTTAATTACTGTTATTATTATATATTAATTAATTATTACTAAAATTTATCTAAACAAAGCGTAAGAAGTCTATGATTTTCAGGTAAACGGACTCATGCTTGAAGGTGAATCATCTGGGACTCGGCTAGAGTGATTCCAAGTGCTTCCCCAGAAAGTGTTCAAGAACTGCTTGTTCTTTTGTGAGCAGCATGGCGAGAGGGTGATAGAGATGAGAGATTGGAGAATGGATGATTGGGAGAGAGGGGTTCCCATTTAGAGAAAATGAGAGAAAGTAGAGGCTTACAATATGAGGAGTGAAGCAGAGTGTTTATGTAAGATGAAGAAGAAGATAATTATATAATTATTTAGATTCATTATTTAATCGGCCTTACTTATTAATTAATAATGAACTTCTATTTTACCATAAAAAGAAATAGTATTTTAATTAATTTTCATCAATAACTTCCTGAACAAGATTCAATTTTTTTTAGTACAATAAATTAATATTTGAAATGGACTCTTTAATAATTTTGTGCATTTGTCAGTCAATTTTTTTTTTTTTTAATTTCAATGTAAAATACTCCATTTTTTAAATTAAATTTCTAATCTGCCTCTCACATAAATGGAATAATTTAAACAAAAATTTAAAGTGTATATATTTAGATCATCTTAATAATAAAATATTTTCTTTATTTTTCTTAATTTTAACTTAAATATTTTTAGAGATATTTTATTACAATTAAACTAAATTAATAGTCATTATTTGTGTAACAATAATTTTAAATGTGAGATTTCTCAATCTAAAATAAATAAATATTAATTCTTGTAATAAAAGTTTAAACGTGCAGAATCAATAGAACATATTTTTGGAGAATCCACCAGCACTTGCAACTGAGAAATTAAGTGTGAAATATATATATATATATATATATATATATATATTAAAAGAAATTGTTGATAGAAGGAATTTAAGTTAATCTAATCCATTGACAGGCTTAATCAAAAGAGCGGTCCACAAACATAATTAGTGGAATGGAATTGAAAAGATTGAAAGAGGCTTAAAACTTAATCCCATAATTAAGTGTCAATTAGTTTGGTATTAGAAAGAACATTTGCAGCTCAAGCTTGTCAATAAGAAACCATTCCTATGTTTTCAGTTACAAATTCAATATATTATATAAATCATTTATACTTACCTTGATGCTGTGGTTGACTGGTGAGCCAATTGCAGGCGATGATCATCCATGAGAACTTGACTTTTGAATCAAGAAAGAAGGCCTGAATTGGTCCATAAATTATGTAAAATAAAAAGACAGATTAGACTCGAGAAAAGAAATTCAATATACTACCATTCCTTCTTTCAGAATTCTTGCATATGCTCTTCAACTTCTCACTTTTCCCTCTTGCTTTCCAACTGGACACCTTTCTAGACTTGGAATTAACGCTTTCCTGAGACCCCCAGTTGACAAACAAGATGTCTGAACTTTCTACCTCAGTTACCACTGAGATTTTTTCATTCACACAATCTGTTTGGTTAAAGTGAATTTCATTTTCTTTCTCATTTTGGAAAGAATTATTACATGAGAATTTCAGAGTATCTTCAGGTGGACTGCAAAAGACATCCATCTTGCTATTCTCTGTCACAACAGACATTTCTTCACCTTCATCATTTGTCTGCTTCAAGCGAATCTCGTCAAGTTTTCTTTTCTTGAATGGATTATTGTTGGGAACCTTCAATTGGATATCATGAGGAATCTCTGAAGCTTCCATTGCCTGATGAGTGTCCGCTGGTGAAATAAGTTTGTTGAACCCTGAATCTTCTTTGAGATATTTCGTTTTCGTCAAAACTGGATCTTCCTTTATTCTGTATGATTCTGGAAAAAACTCTCCATTGTCAAAAATGTGGAAGATGTTTTAGTTACGTGATATGCATGAAGGGAGAGTTTCTTTTGAGAAATTGCATGAAGGTAGGTATGTTCAAGATAATTTGTGAAAATGCACGAATATCTGCACGCATTTATACAGCAGCTATCAGAAATGACAAGAGAATTCGAAAAACTTGCCTGTACTATCTCTTTCCCTTGTTTTATGAGAAGGGAACACTAAAAAGGAGTTTTCTTGATTGGACGGAGGATACAGTGGCAGCTTCCGCTTTGTGGAGCCTGCCAATGACAAGGGCTGGCTCACATTGAAAGCCTCCATGCTTGTTGGATTTAACTTTCCTTCTGCAATTGCAGTGGCTACCGATGGAGGGAGGTCTCTGACATCATTTGTAAGTGGTCAAGGTTCCAACATACTTGGCCTACAAACACATGGAGGGTAAGCTTATATTTGCAGTTTATAATTACTAGTTTGAACTTTCTATTTATTGTGAAAATGTTGTCTGCTTATGTACGCTGTAGTACCATGATTCCGAGTTTAACAGCCACAACTTGTTTCCATTCTGAACTATTGATCTAGCTTTGAATACTTTAGATGACAATTTCAGATGACACATTATACGACAACAAAGTTAGAATCTATGATGGGGCAGAAACTTCTAACAAGTTAGCTGCATTAATGAGTCACGATTAGTAACCTTACAAGGAAACTGCAAATTTAGGAAAAGTAATAACAAGCAGGAAAGGATACGGCCCCAGAAAATCAAGCTCTCCATCCAGTGATTCAAGAAGTTCTTGCGGAAGAGGGTTTATATGTTCAAGTTTCTTAGCATAAGCATCATATCTGCACATTAAATGTAAAGGAAGAAAATTAGATGAATGCCAATAAGCAACAAGATAATGAAATCGGGTGATGCGCTTCCCCGAATAATCTAATCTGTTAATACCCACATTCGAGCATGCTGGAAAACTGCAAAAGCTTCTCTGAAGGACTTTGCATAATCTTCGGGCATTTGATTGCCTTTCTCTAACTTCAAAACTGATAAAACCTGTCAACATTTCAAACACACGGAAATCTTATGATGCCAATAACTTTAGAATCACAAGCATTATCTAAATTTCAAAAAGCACTCAACATTTAGAACTCTCAAAATAATCTTACTCGGAAAATAATATATTCTGGGGATATTGAAAAGAAGACATATAAACACACACACCACAGATAAATACTTCTATATCTAGACAAATGCATACTAGTGATTCTTCCAATTAATTTAATCTCAGGTCAGTGCAGAATTCCAGTATTTGAGATGGCTTAGTAAGATTTCTGAAAGATTTAGAATTCAACTTATAGGCTAGTTCCTCAGCATATTGCAAACCCACCGCATTCAGAAGTTGATTTATAAAGAAAAAGCTCAAAACGTTATCACAATCCCATTTATTTCGACTTTTATACTGAACTTCTGTTTAAGCAGTAGTTCAAAGCAACAGCTTCTCTACTCAGTTAACCAAAAGTTTTATTATTTTTCACCACAAGTTATGCTAGAGTTATAAGAATCTTAAAGACGCAGTTCAGCCCAAACAAATAATATCCATGTTCTGATATGTTATCTTCATTTGAAAAACCAGAATAAACTGAAATTTTATTTATTTTTAGATGAAAAAAGAAGTACTAGATCAACTGACGTTTATCATTAAATAATTTTTAACATCATCAGGGAGCATGCACCCACATGATTGAAGCAGAGTTACATGTATCCCATCCTATATAGTCTTTAACAGATTAAGAAACAGTCACCTCTATTGAACATCAACATACAGACAGGTACTTACACGATCCAAGTTCCGATACTTGGCAACCAAGGAATAAGCCTTCACAATTCCAATACCAGGAACAGAAGGAAGAAAGTCACAGCCAGCTAACACACACATTCCTGCGAAATAAAAGATCATAAGCCTGATTTCAATTTTAATGGATCTCTGATGAGTTATAGCAGAAAAATTCACAATCCGTTAGTAGAAGTTGATGAGAAGCATTTAGTACTGTCTGTCATTTCCATGTGATATAGAAGTCCCACCATTTTTGGTAACAGTTTTTCATTTTCCATACACCATATGGTTCAATACGGGTGATGGCATGTCACAAAATGTTAGCCATATATGTTTTTCAGAACTCTTTAAGACATTTCCATCTAAAACATTTCATAGGGTGATACAATGAACTCACCTGTTAACAATTCCTTATCAAATTTTTGGAAGGAAGGGTTATGAGCCGCAGATTTCAAAACATTGTCTAGACCTATCTCTTCACCATTACCATACCGATCCATCTTAAAGACAATCTGATCACAAAAGGTACAAATGAGGACAGAAAACTAATTTCATTGAAGATTTAGGAAAACTAAATTAAACAGGTCTCCATCTGCACAATATCAAACAAGTTCTTACAGCTTGACAACCATATGCTAGTAGATCACTATCTTCTGTAATCACTGCCACAATTCCACCTTTTTCCACTTCAAGTCTGGTTAGATATGCTAACTGAGCATCAGCCTCATATGGCGCTACCACGAATTCAATGTCCTCTGCTTTTAAAGTCTGAAAAGTAATCAGCAAAACTTTTCAACCTAATGAAATCTTAAGTCTAAAAACATCGTTTACTTTTGATGGGAGTATAAATACAAGAATGATTTCTGAAACTTTAGTATGTCTAGAAGGCGATATGACAATCATATACCTGAATCAGCTGGTGAGCCATGGCTGGAGTGACACTAATTGCTCTCTACATATAAAGATAAGCCAAATGTGTGAATTCATGGATACCAGGAACCTAAATTCAGAACCATAAGAAACTGAAAAAAGAAAAGAAAGCAGAAAGTACCTGAAATAGCTCAGAGGCAGCACTAACATTCCCTTCACTAAGCTTTGCCATAGCCAATTCACGGTTAGCTGTTCTTCTCCTTAAATCAGCAAAGCTATTCAATAAGGAAGAAGAAAGAAAAACCACCGAAAAAAAGATAAAAGCTAAAAAAGGAAAATCCAATGTAGAGACATGCCTGTGGCGTTCATGTTCAGTAGCAGCCTTACAGGGAATATTTCCGCCATCAAAGACTACCACCGGGATGATCTTATAATGACGAAGAAGATTAATTCTGTGCATAAAATAGTCTATGTATCTCAGCTTCTTTTCACTATTCGAATCCATACAGAGCTCCATGCTACATGAATATGCTGCAAGTTTCCACATGAACAAAGAACACAAAAGAAAAAAAACTGAAAGCCCTTCCCAATTATTCAAATGAAAAACTAAATTGAAACAAAAAAAAAAAAGAACTATTAAATTCGGCAAAGAAAATGAAAAGTAAGTATATTAGTTACCTCCTTTGTGCAGCCATGAATATGCATCAATTCCTACCTATAAGTAAATTTTTTCAAAACAAATACCGATTTGACTGAACGAAACTAAAGAAATTTTTCACGAAGAAGAAAGAGGATTAACTTACACGCTTTCCGGCATATTTCTTGATGTGGACTGGTTCAATGTAGGGTTTCATGAATCTGAGAAGATCTTTGATTCCCATTTTCAGCTACTCCCCCCACTATTTCTGGATTTCCCCCTTTTGTTAGAGAACACCAAAGGCTAACATTGAGGAAATGGAGGGAACGAGATCAAATTTCAGAAGAACAGCTTACGGCGACGGAGTTAGCGGAAGCGGGATTAGTTGACAGCACTTCTGATTAAACGACTTATACAGACAAATCAGCGATCGCCACGTCAGACATTTAAGGTCGGGAACAGTTAAAAAGACAATCCGAAGGAGAACGTGGTTAAATATGATTGGTCAACGTTTTTTTTTTCCTGGTCGTTAGGGCTTTTTCGAGGGAGGCGGTGAAGGTCTTGTCTTTTAACACATACGTGATTCCCGCCAATATACATTTAAAATTTCCCGCCAATATATAGCTTTTACATATTTTCTGTCAATAAAAATATGTGTAGATACACACACACACACATATATATATATATATGAATTTAATTGTAAAAAAACAAGATATGTCCTTTTTATTATGTTTCTATCTATCTAGACATAGTGCGAAGGATTTTACATTTATTGCATCAGTGATACGTACATATTTATTTGCAATATTGTCCTTATATAATCTAGATATTTCATATACAAGTTGATCTCAAACATGTACGAATCAAACTTGTATATCTCATGTAATTACATTTATTTGTGTGTGTGTGTGTGTATATATATATATATTAAGTAGCTGGCCTTAAATAGAGAGGGATATAGTTGGTTTTCTGAGGCTGCGAATCCCACACAGAAAATGCACTTGAACATCTCATCCATTTGTTTGTCATTTTGGGAAAGTGTCTGTCAATAACATCCTTCAAGTTCTCCGTCTTGTTAACCCACTCTAACCCTTTCTCCGTGTAGGTTTTCGCATTAAAATTCGTCGTAAAAAATCTATCGGCTTCCAATCTCCTGTTCATAAATATTTTAATTAATTAACAAAAAATATAAATTAAAATATCAAAAATGATATAATACATGTAAATTTTTTTAATATATATATATAATAATTCTAGTTTTTAGTTGAGAATTATCCATTAATAAATACTTATTTTCTTAATTTTAATTTTAATATTCGACTAAAAGCTAACATTACCTTGATGCAATGAGTAGGAAGATGAAGAAGGCAGTTTCACTAATGGCAAAGCCTTCGATCTTCTTCTCAGCATGTAACCCTATTTGTAAATCTAGCTTCTCAACATCATCTCCGTACACTTCATGTAAAGCATCAATAATTTCTTTATCGTCTGTTAAATCTTCCCATTTGTTGATAGGAATCATTAACAGATTTCGTCTGAATTCATTAAATCGAGACACTCTTCTCTCCCGATCCCGATAGACTAATCATCAAAAATATTCTCAATCAGATAATTAACATCAAAATTTAAAAGAAAAAAAAAACAGGGCAAATAGTTTAATAGTGAATTACTTTCCATGGCAGCCATGTCAACTAGGGTTGATCTATCTTCTCCATTAACATCATGAGCAACAAGGTTCCTCATCCATGTTGGGAAGTTCCATAAGGTAAGAGCTCCACAAGCCTGATGACCCATTGACACTAACATTTGCTCCATTCCAATTTTTGACAATCTCTTCTCTCCTTCTTTTCCTATTAATTCCTTCATCGGCACCCTATAAAATCGAATCAATTACTTTTAAAACAATTTATAATGTTTGATTATTTAAAAGATTAGTTTAAATTAACAATATATGATTTTATTATTATGTATAAATTAATACACATAAAAATTACTGTTGAAAATATTGACTTCATGAAAGAAAAGAGAAGTACTCTTCTTGTATTGGAGGATATTCATATTCACATTTGTACTCTGAATTCGTGGATTTAATATCGCGAATAATGAAGTTATCAGGTAACAGTGAATGCATTCTGTAAACACTAACAAACTCTTCAGTAAGTGAATATGGAACTCCATGGTCTCTCGGCTTCTTTAGGCCAACTAACCCACTTAACACAGGACCTAATATATGTCCAAATGTATCCTTAAACTTCTTCCCCATAAATCCATACCTGCACAAAGGACATTCTTACAAATTTAATATATGAAATGGATCAAGATTAAAGAGCTATTAAAACCCAAAAGCTACATATAAATGCATATCATACCAATTGATCCTCATGCCTGCCATGAGAGTATCAGTCTTTAGGAGTTCCACAGTCCAATCAATAGTGTGGATTTTGGCAATCACAGCTGAGGTCACTAGTCTCGCATGTCGATACAACTTCTCATCATCCATGTAGGGATAATGTTCCTGACATTGATCAAAACCCTAATTTGTCAATCATTAACTTACATTGTAACATGTCTTGGTTTTACAATATTAGTTTTACCTTAAGCATATCACAGACAGTATTATGTTCTTTGACAAACAAGGCTTGAAGGAGGGAAAATCCTGCCCAGCAATTCCTAACATCACCTGAGATGGGAATCCCTTTCTCATCATGCTCAAGAAGTCCATCTCCTCCTAATTTCAACTTTCCATCTTTGAAGGTCCTCACTCTTACCATCCCTTCGTCATTATTCCCATATATCACACTCCCATCCCTGCTTTCAAATATTTTAAACTGTTATAAGTTTCCACATAAATTTGTGCAAGTTCACTGTATCTTTTTCTGTTTATGAAAGTACCAAATCTTATTTAGAGATAGCAGGAGATGGATTATCAAAACTGAATCCCACCTACCCTAATGAAGAGCAAATCTGAACTTGCATATATATATATACATATACTTAGAGGTTGGGTTCGGACAAGTCTTTCTATAACTTAAACTCAACTTGACTCAAACCGGTACTTTAATGAAAAAATATCATATTGAATAATGTTCGGATGGATCAAATTAAATGAGTTTAAGTGCAAAATATCATCCCTAAATGTATAAGATTTAACTATATATATTGTTTTTAATGAATGAAAAAATAAATTTAAGGAAAGATTACTGACCACCAGGGTGTCCGTGTATTGACAGACCCAGTCTTCATATAAGGTTCCTGGGTGGAGACCCTCTTGGTTTTAAAGAACTTGAAAGACTTCAGTGGACATTGACTTGCAATTTCATCACGAGCTCTAAGTTCCACCTGCTTTAATTTCATATAACTTTAGTTTCTTCCACATATATATATATATATAGATAGATATATTAAATTGTAAAAAAAAAAATATTCATTTGGGTAAAATACATACTAATATTTAAATAAGAACAATGGAAAGTACCTGTTTGGTGTCCTCCAAATGATCAACCCAATCATGAATCATGAATTGAATCC